TATACATATATATATGTATAGTCTATATCAGATTCATGACATCTTGGGGAGAGAAGTGGGAAGGGAGAGGGAGAAAAATTTGAAGCTCAGAAGCTTATGGAAGTGATTGTTGATAATTCAAAATAAATTAATTAAAAAAAAGAATGTGAGCCTCTTGAAGGGATGAATGGTTCCTTTTTGGTCTGTATCTCAAGTGCTTAGCCCAGTGCCTGGCACATAGCATGTTCATAATAGTTGAACTGAGTTCTGTAAGAAGATGTTTCCCACTAAATTGGCATAATAGTTTGAGGAAAGAAGTCAGGGTCAGAAAGATCCAGAAAGATGTCTTTCATCTATTTATACTAGGAGAATTTGAGGATACATACATTGCTTGTAGTCTCTTAGATTCAAAGGGGAGAATCATAATAGCAATCATCCATTGCCTAAGCTGCATTTTCAGCAAATCACTAGCTTGGGGCCATCTGTTGCCTGCCCTTGCAGACTTCCAAGCTCCCTGGGATAAAAATAGCTGCTAAAAATAATCCTATGGGCTCAAGAACAGGCTGGCCCATGTCTGGAGGAAGCTCTTTTCAGTGCCTCCAGAGCTAGCTCACCCAGGCTGCTCAGACCCTTAGCACTAAAAATATCTTTGGGTCAGGTCTTAGGGTTGTAAATCATCTTCACTAAGTGGGGACTCATTAAAAGTAGATTTCCTCTGACCACTTTGAAGCTAATTCCAATTTAACCCCCAAACTCCTGGGCCTGAAAATGTCTTGGCTGTTTGGAAACAACCACAGGTATCAAAAAAGGGCTTTAGCCTTGTCCATACCTAACTCTGATCTTGCCTATCCCAGACACTGTGGGGTCCTAGTCTACATCTATTAGATTGTAAATTCCTCCATTAGACTATAAACTCCCTGAGAGCAGGGGCTATTTTTTTGCTTCATTTTTTTGGCTCCCTAGAGCTTAGCACAGTGCCAGCACATAGTAGGTGCTTACTAAATGTTTATTGATTATTGATTCATTGGTAGCCTGATGAATCTTAGTCATGGAGTCTAGCTGAGCTCCTGAGTCTATGAGGTTTCTTTTAGCCTGTTACTTAGTAAACCAGGTTAAAAACCAATCTACTGAGTAGATTGCATCATATTAGACATGGAATACCTTGGATTAGACATAGCTTCAGGCCTCACCCCACTTTCTACTCATGTTTAGCTTGAAGTATTGAAGTTCCAGGCATGCCATTTTGACATCACTACAAAAGGGTGGCAGTAGAGTGGTCATGCTGTCTGATAGGGGTGTCTGGCTGTGACAGGTCTTTCTCTCTAATCTCCCTACCTCATCAGTCTCAAGCCTTCTTTCAAGGCCAACCCCCAAGAATATACTCGGGGAAGCAGCATGGGGCAATGGAAAGAACAGTGACTTTAGAGTCAGAGGATCAGGATTTGAATGTTATTTCTTCCCCTGAGTATTTGAGAAAATTATCTACAATTCGTGCCTCCACTTTCCCCTTTCCTCTTTTGCTTCTAACTCTTCTGCACCTTGATTTCCAGTCTCATCATTTAACTGAAATTGCTTTCTCCAAAGTTACCTATCATCTATTAATTGCCAAATCTATTGGCCTTTTAAAAACTCTCATCTACTTTGATTTCTCTGCAGTCATTGACATTATCACCTTCTCCTCTTGGAGACTCTCTGCTTTCTGGTTTTTGTGACACTTTTCCTTCTCCATCTCCTTTGCTTGATCTTCATCCAGGTCATGCCCACCAACTTTGAGTATTCCCCAAGGTTTTGTCCTTGTTCTTATCTCCCTTTATACTATCTTACTTGGTGATCTTATTAGCTACTGTGACTTTAATGATCATCTCTATGCAAATAATTCTCAGATCTATACAGGGTTCCCCCAAAGTCTTAGTTTTATGTTATTAAAAGTTTATAACTGCACTAAGGCTTTTGAGATGCCCAGTATAACCAGCCCTAGTCTCTCAGATCTACACAGGGTTCCCCAAAGTCTTAGTTTTCTGTTATTAAAAGTTTGTAACTGCACTAAGTCTTTTGAGATGGCCAGTATAACCAGCCTTAGTCTCTCCACTGAGCTCCATCACTTGCTTCTTGGACATCTGATTTGTATGTCCCATAGGCATCTTAAATGAAACACGTTCAAAATAACATTCATTATCTTTCCCTTGAAACCTTCCCCTCTTTCATACATTCCTACTAATGTCGAGGGCATCACTGAACCCCTATTCTCCCAGTTTTGCAATCTCAACCTCTCATTCCCACTCACCTCACACCTCCAATCTGTTACTAAATCTTGCTGTTTCTACCTTCATAACATCTCTCCATTATGTTCCCTTCTCTTCACGAACACACCCACCACCCTCCTGGTGCAGGCCCTCATCACCTGTATTACTGCAACAGTCTTCTGGTTGGTCTTCCTGACCCAAGTCTCTCCCCACTACAGTGGTTTTCCACCAAGCTGTCAAAGTGATTGTTTAAAAGTGCAGATCTGACCATATTACCTTTCTACTCAATTAACTTCAGGAGCTCCCTATTATATTATGTTCAGGATCAAATATAAAATCCCATTTAGCATTTAAAGTACTTTACAACATACCTTCTTCCTCCCTTTCCTGCAGTCTTTTTATTTTCCTCCATTTATTTATGGTCCAATGACACTGGACTTCTTGTTCCTCCCACTTGACACTTCATCACCTGACTTCCTGTCTGACTGTCTCTTATGCTTGGAGTGCTCTTTTTCCTAACCTCCAACTTCTGGCTTCCTTTAAGATTTGGCTTAATTCCCACCTTCTGCAGGAAGCCCCTCTACCTGAACTCCCCCCTTCCCTTTGAGATGACCTTCCACATACCCTCTATAGAGCTTGCATGTACACTTTTTTTTGCATGTTGTCTCCCATGTTAGAATGTGGACTTCTTGAGGGCAGGAATCATGTCTCCCACTCTCCTCCCCTTGCCATTTCTTTGTATTCTGGCACATAATAAGTATGTGATAAATTCTTGTTGTGTGACATTAGGAAACTTCTTTAGGCCTCAGTTTTCTCATCTATCAAATAAGAGGATTGGGCTAGACGGCCTTTAAAGGTCCCTTTTGGTTGTAAATCAATAATCTTATGACCACTGTGTGTGTGTGTGTGTGTGTGTGTGTGTGTGTGTGTGTGTGTGTATGTGTGAACTGCTAATGAATCATTAAACACTGTTAGTATGGAATGAGTGGGAGTAACACCCAGGGCAAGAGAAGGAATTCACTTTTTACCAACGGTTAACGGGTCAGGGGAATTTCACAAGTGGTTAAGTAAACAAGGTCAATGCTAGAACAAAGGGCAATGAAGACTTTTATACTTCATAAAGGGAGAAATTGTTAACACCAGGACAAAGTCCTCTGGAAGTGGGTCCCAGAGCATACTTGGGAACACTGCTAACATCACACAAACCTCCTTCCTCACAAACGAGAACAAAACCCAAACAAATAAACAAACCCCAATGAGACTCTGAATATATAACTTAACCAATTCAGGTTTCACCACAGTTTAGGCACCTAGGTGGTGCAGTGGATAGAATGCTAGACATGGAGTCAGAAAGACCTGAGTTCAAATCCTGACTTAGAAAACTGCCAGATGTTTGGCCTTAGGCAAGTCACCCGACCTTTCTCAGCTTCAGTTTCTTTTTCTGTAAAATGGAGATAATATGAGACAGCACATATAAAATGCTCTGTAAAGCACAATGTACCATATCAATGCTAGTTATTATTATTAATATTAGCTGTAATTCTAGACATGAATCTTACAATGGAAAGTTGGGACCATAATGGTTACATGATTTTTCTATTATGATTAGAGTTCTTGATAAACGAACCCATAATTCAAACAAATCCTTCTCTGATGTGAAACCTTTAGGATTCCATGCAAGATCAATTTTTGTTTTGTTGGGGTTTTCTAGACCTAGGGATTTATGGCATTTCAAGTATGTCACTATTTCTTCTTGGTAGTTTATTTAACTTGTAAACTTGCTGCTTATGTTTTTAGTATTTTACAAGTGCCAAAGAGCCTGTTTAAACAATACACTGAAAACCTAAAAACAAACATTTCAAATATGACATTGCTGTAATTGGGAGTGGGGGCACAGAAAAAGATAAAAGAAAATCAGTAAACTGTAAACATTCTCAAAGGTGGTCAGAGTTAAGCACTTTTTAAAAGAGGGAAAACATTCCTGCTGTATGAAGAATATAAACTAATATTTTATAACTACATGGCTGCAGCAACAACTGCAAAGATGCAACCATTTCTTGATAAAAACCACTCTGTGCTACAGAGATATAAAGAAAATTTAGAGGAAATCAATGTAATTCTGGAATGTTGCTGGAAGGTAACAAATTAGACCAATGCAGAGAGAGATGGCAACTCAAGTTGAGCAAACATGTTAGGTGTTGCTTAGGTGAACATTCTTCTGGTTGCATAGTGGACAGAAGATCAAGTTAAAAATTCATCCTCAGACACTTACTAGCCATGTGACCCTGAGCAAGCCACTCAACATGTTTGCCTTAGTTTCCCCAACTGTAAAACGGGGATAACAACAGCATCTACATTGCAGAGTTGTTAGGATCAAATGAGATATTTGCAAAAAGTGCTTAGCATAGTGCCTGGTACATGGTGCTATATACATGGTCTCTCTCCCCTAAATATCCTCTCCAAAGCTCAGAAGTCTTTGGTGCGGCTCATTCATAGACATTCTAAGTTTTACCATTGCCACTGGACAGAAATTCTAAAGAAAGGTTCGTCTGGGATACTGGGATCACACCTGCTTGTTCCTATCAGACTATTGCTTGGGAAGCAGTGCTCACCACCACTGTCCCCAGCCTTTTGTTCTAGCAATAGGAAAAGAGGAAAACATTTGAGAACTGGGTACCCTCTAAGTGATGCTGATTGGACCATTTTTGTGGCTGTTGCATAGGGCAATAATTAACTGACACACGGAACATATAGGCTATTAAAAGAGAGAATACAATAAAGGATTACAGCAGAGTATCTTTTATTAGAAAGGATAACAAAGAACTTTGTATATAAGTTTGTATAACACAAATGGTTTGGACAACCAAGACATTCTGGTGGAGAATTAATATGGCAGTTTTGTAATAAGAACCATCAGCCCTGATATAAGTATTCTGGATGTTCAAAGTTATTCAGAAAAATGTTTGGCAGATGAAAACTTACTGGGACACACTGTTAAATAAGTAACATTTAAAAAAGTATCCCTTAAATAATATCCGTGGCTATTATTCCCCTTGAAATAAGCATTACAAATAGTGTTGACACATTTGATGTGAGCTGCAGGGTGGATTTCCCCCTGAAATATGCTACAATGTGGTAGCTATATTGCAAAGACCCAGGTCATATGAGTGATAGCTATATATTTCCCACAGAAAGTCAACAAGATGCCTAAATGACAACATACAGACTAATACACTCCCCTTCTGCACAGTAAAAGTATCTTTTGAGCCATAAAATTTTAAAGTATAAAACAACTTTGAGCTAATGGGTTCCAGAGAGAGCATCAATAAATGATGGAGGGTAGATGACCATTTGTCAGAGATGTTAAAGACAAGATTCATCCATCAGATAGTAAGATGGATGTGAAGTCTCCCTACAGGTCCTTCTCATTCTAGGATTCTGTGAATTACCCCTAGCCTTATTTTATGAATTAATTTCCTTTCTTCCAGAGCACATCTTTAATTAGGGATATAATACAGGAACAAAACAGCCTCATTTCAGCTCTACCTTCTCCCTCTCCTTTCCCCAGCTAAGACCCTATGGGAACTGAGGGCTGCAGATAATCTGCAAACTCGATAATGAGTCCTCAATAATAGCAGTGATTATTCACAAGTCTTCCTGTGTAATTGCTTGGGTTGAGAATCACCTTCCCAACAATATTGTTAACACTTGGTTTATCCCATAGGTTGAGGTGCCTTGGGGATGTTCAGCTTCTCAAGAGGATAATCAGATCGAAACAAATTAGTGTACAGGCTGGAAAGGCATCCTCCAACCCAAGCACTGGGGCCAAAAGCAGCATGATGACCATAAGATGTCATTTATCTGCTAGAATAGATGCAGGGGTATGGACCAGTACGTCCTGAGTGCTCCCTGGACCCTTCTTCACACTTTTCAATGACTTCCCCCTCTCCAGTATTAAAAAGATATCAATAAAAACCAGAAAATGGATTTCATACCACTGAAAATGAAGGATGGCTATAGTTATAATACAAAGGTTCTTAGCCTTTTTTTGTATCATGGACTCCTTTGGAAGTCTTGTGAAGTCTACGGGCTGCTTCTCAGAATAATGTTTTTAAAGGCATAGAATAAAATACACAGTATTACAGAGGAAACCAATTTATTGAAGTATAGTTATCAAAATATATCATTTTTTCATTGACCCGGAGTTAAGAACCCCTATAGTGGTAGGGAACAGAGAGAGTACCATGTTTATGGCTGATTAAGAAATAAGACAAAATATAAACAAAAATGGATCTATTCATTCAGGTCAGTTTGTTTGACTACATTTGATGTAAGATAAATATCTTATTTCCCCTATCTCCTTTTTAAAACTGAGGGCTAATAATATGGGTAAATTATATGGTAATTATTATACATCTTATTCACATATAACACCAATTCCTCGAATTGGTTACATTTCTGAGATGGATATGATTCAATATCCCATTTTACCTAATCACTTTATTTCATGACCAGTCAAGGTTATAGGAGTTTCTTTTACCTAGAGAAATGAGTATGATCTGCATTTCAACACTTCCTAGAGGCAATATCTTATTGTCTCCATTAAATAAGCTACTAGCTAGCTTTTATTCCCTCCCTCCTTGATAGCACTTGACGGTAAATTGTGGTGAGTAGTAACAGAAATTTGAAAGGAGATAGTAAAATGCCTGCTTACTTTTTATAATTGGACACACATACACACACACATACACACATATTCCATCAGCATAACAGGGCAATGTATAGTGCTGACTGGATACTGAATCATTTATAACAAAAATGACTTTGAAAAACAGATTCACCATTAGGCACTGGTGGGACCAGAGCAGTTATTAAGCATGTTACATTTCAGAAATTCAAACTCCCAGCAGCATTCCAAAAGAATGTAGTTATTAATATTTTATACTGCTACAAATTCCCATAATTTCTGTTGTTTTTTTAAACTGTACTTGTACATAACTGAAAATACCCTTTCATATAGTTTGCACTTATTGTAAGGTAGTTGAAGGGTATGCTCATTGGTATAAAAATATTTGCAAACTCAATGTAAGCACACAATAGAGTACAAAGACCTTTTGTAAAAATAAAAAAAGTCATAAGTTTAAAAAAGTCAATATTTAAACAAATACACTGTATTTTTAACACCCTCTGGCTGGGATTCTGATTTAGCATTATATGCTCTAATGATATTTTCAATCACTTTGCTTCTCCATTTAGAGGATTCACAGATTTGGTCTTGCTGAATGTATAAGACTGATGATCACACTCCAAATTTAACCATTTCTTCAATACTGTACATCTATTTTCTCTCTCTCTCTCTCTCTCTCTCTCTCTCTCTCTCTCTCTCTCTCTCTCTCTCTCCATATATATCAAAGGTGAAAGATTTAGTCTTTTATTTTTGAAAGAGAAAGAAAAAGATGCAGGCAGATTTTGTAACAAGTTAGGGAAAAAATACTATACTGTCCAGCTACGAAACAGATTTTGATTTATATCTTAAAGTAGCAGTTAAAAAAAGGACTATAAAATTGTAAAAGTTGTGAAAAACACACTGAAAGTGTCCCCTGGAAAATAAAAAATAAAAACTCAAGCTTGTTGGATAGAAGAAAATACCGAGGCCTATTTAGGCATATCACAAGGTAGGTATGTAGCCAGCTGAGCATTTACCTGGCTCCTGGATTAACAAAGAACTCACCAGCACCAAAACGTGGTTCCAGGCCTAATGAAGTTTCAATCCACTTGGGTAGTTTCTCTAACAACAGTATATGTCTTTTTTTCTCAATCTTTCGGAAAATGAGCCAGAATGGTTAATTTTCATCACAAGAGAAAGATAGTCATAAAGCCAACTCTCATTTACACATGAGGATGGGGATGGCAAGGATAACTGAAATCCGACATTCCCCAAATGAAAGTGGGAAAGGCTAGGAAATAATCTTCAAGTAAAATATCGCTTTAGCTTCTTTCTCCCTATATTATTTACAAGCAGTAAAACTGATAGCTCTAAATGTCATAACCTCTGTAGCATTTTTGGGTAGTAGTGTTTATGATTAGTGCTCAATAAGTGGGCAAAAGTCATTACTGGGAAATAAGGAGCCTGGATTACCTGAAATTAACTCCCCAGATAAAGAAGAGTTGACTTTATTTTCAAAGAACATCCATTTATAAATTTAGTTAGAAAATGGCTGACATAATTTGTAACAAAGCAGATTTCTGTAGCTCTCGTTTGCTTAAATATCCGTCAACACACAACATGGCTTCCACATGTCAAACCACACATGGGTCAGCTATGTTTTATTCTTGTACATAAATAATGACAATGCAAAGAACAGCGACTAGTCCAAGGGCTTGTAGGCCAAGAAACCAGAGCATAAACCAAAAGAAAATGACTATGACTGGCTCCACAATCCGTTCTCCGAAATACATCCTTGTGAAGCCCATGTTGATTAGGCTTTTGTTCAGTTCACCAAAAAGGGTTCCCATCTTTTTGTAGTCATCTATAACAGGTTCCACACTATGATTTTGTGATTCTTCTATGTCCTATAAATAAGAAAAAGGAAAAAAATGAATACAGTGTGGCTTAAAAGAATTAAATGTAGTCATATCATATGCAAAACCACTAGCACGCTTCTAAGCACAATCAATAAACACTCAATACGTGAGTGACAGATGTATGGGTATTTTTCTTCTTATATTCAGACAGAATTGTTAATATACTTGCTTTTCAAAAAGGTAAAAAACATCCATACCTGCAATCCAATAAATATCTATTAAGCACCTACATGTGCCAGGCACTGTGCTAAGCTCTGGAGGTACAATTAATAAAAAGAAAGATAGTCCTTGCCTTTAAGGAGCTTACACTCTAAAGCAACACACAAAATGAAGAAGGAAAAGGGGAGAACCCTAGGGAGTACTTGGCATGGAGGCATCTTGTGCGGTGGAGTTGAAACCAGGCAGAGCAGCAGACACTAAGTGGAGTGATCTGAGAGTTCAGTTGCTGCCATATATAAAGGAAGACACTGGGAGGAGTTTGGTACTCTGCCTTCCAGCCCTCCAATCAGAGGGGAGAGGAGGCTGAAGGAGGCTGAAGGAGGCAGTGTTTAGAAGAAATGAATTTAACCTGGGACAGGTCTCCTGTTAATTGAAATATCTCAACGTAAGTCTTAATTTCTGTAGATTCCAACAAATCAAACTCACCTAACAGAACCCACACCCACAAGAGCTAAAAGAGAGACATTAAAATCTGTCATGCCCTAGTTTAGTGAGATACAAATAAGATCGTAGAGACAAGCTGGTTGAAAGCTCAGTTTCTCTTTAATGCAGATTTTTATCACGACAATTTGCTGGAAATCTTTATTAGTTCCTCATTGTAGAATATCACAGATTTCAGTAAGTGGGATGACTTGGAGAAGTCATCAATCTTCTCAGAGTTAACCTCTTTTATGCTAGAGAAACATTCACCCACTTATTTCACAAAGGAGTTTACTTGGCAATGACCAGGCAGATGGGCCAGAGCCCAATTATGGCATAGCAAAACAGATACAGGTACCTTAAAGGGTCTCTGTTGCTCTCTTATAACGAAAAGTTTTTATTACTATCTACTTTATTATGTAATCTAAATTAAACATTTAACAGTTTTCTTCACATTTTAACTGTTTTCCCGTTCTCATCATTTTGGTTCTGGTACTTAAATTTCTGATTAAGGTCTGGGTTGCTTGTTAAAACAATTCAATTCCATTCAATAAGCATTTTTTCAGCAACTAACTTTGTTCAAGGCACCAAGGTAGGCACTGGAAAGAGAAGGACAAAAATGAAATAGTTTCTGCCCACAAGAAGCTTATATTCTAATGAGGAAAAACAACATAAAAATAGATAAGTAAATGCAAAATATATACAAAGAGCTTGTTGGTGGGTAGAGGAAGTCACAATGATGGCATCCTTGCTCTCCTTTGCACTGCTGCCAACTACAGATTTATTTTGCAGATAATAGCTCACCTCTATTTTAGTAGCTAGAGCTGGAGAGTTCAAAGAAGTTTTTTTAAAATAAAATCAACCTTGCAATGGACACATATTTCTAAATAACTTCTTACACGACTACAAATTAAGATCTTTCCTTTTTTGTTATTGGTGATTTTCTTAAAAGTTGGATTAGAAGGACAATGAGATGGAAATTTGTAATGCAACAAGAGGGTAGAATCTCTCTAAAATACTTATTACATATAATAGTTGCACTTGTGTGTCATGTCAACATATACAGTAAGCTTCCTGGGACGATTTCCCTTAAAGGGACCATTTTTCATCTAAACTTTGTATTACCACCTGTCTCTGCCAATATATTTTTTTGTTCGTTTCTTTAGGCAATTGGAGTTAAGTGACTTGCCCAGAGTCACACAGCTAGTAAGTGTCAAGTGTTTGGTCTGAGGCTACATTTGAACTCAGGTTCTCCTGACTTCAGGGCCGGTACTCTATCCACCATGCCACCTAGCTGCCCCCCCTGCCAATACTGTCTGCACAAATTTGGCATATAATGTTTAAGGAATTGAGTTATATTTGATGTGGTTTTACTGGAACAATTTTGTTTAGGTGGGGGTGAAATTATATTTTCTAATTGTCTTAATATGAGTTTCTTTCATTAGAAGGAAAGTTGTATACTTTTCATCTGTTTGTTTTTGCTTTTTTTTTTTTTTTGGTGAGGCAATCAGGGTTAAGTGACTTGCCCAGCGTCACACAGCTAGTAAGTGTCAAGTGTTTGAGGACAGATTAGAACTCAGGTCCTCTTGACTCCAAGGCCAGAGCTTTATCCACTGAGCTACCTAGCTGCCCCATATACTTTTCAAGTTATCATGTGCAATTTATGTACTTCCTTTTGTAAATGTCTTTTCTTATACATTAGGAAATAGATGACTATTCTTGACTATATCAATTCCTTGCATATTTTCTCATGTAGCTTGTACTACTTAGAAATGTTTTTCTCATCAACTTTTTTTTTTATCACCATCACATTATTTTTGTGGTACAGAATTTTTATTCTGATGTAATCAAATCCACCTACCAATGTTCCCAATTTCTTCTATTTGTTCAATATATAAAAATTTATTTTCACTCCATAGTAGATATAAGCCTATTTCATTTTTTCTAACTCTTTAATGCTCCCCCCCACCAATGTTTAAGTCTATTATATAGCTATAATTTACTATGGTAAATGGTATGCAATGTCTCTAAAGCCATTTCCTGTCATTTCTATCCAGTACTCCCAACAATATTTATTAAAGAATAACTTCCATTTTTCTTTTCCATAGGTTCAAGAAACACTGATCTTTTGTAAATATTTAGTTTTATTTCCAGTATCTCTATTCTGTTCCACTGACTTATGTTTACATTATGTTTCTGATATTAGATGGGGTTGATTCTTTTAGGAGACTATTAAAGTCTAGTAGGGCAAGTCCACCTCTGTTGGGTATTTATATCCCTTCATATTCTTTGTTCATTTCCCCATAATAAGTTTAGGTTTTTACAAAGGAAATTTCTTTATGATAATCTAGTGAGATAGGGTAGTACAGGTATTAACATGTAAATTAAAGCAGTAAATTAATCTAAGGCACATTATCATTTTTACTATGTTCTACAAACCCATCCAACCGCTCTGAATATGTTCCAATCACAAAATCATAGCATGCCAGAGGTAGAAGGAGCTTCAGAGGTTATCTGGTCCATTAAGCACCTAAATAGGCACTACCTCTTCCATATCTCTGATCTCGCATCTTCTATTTGAAGACCTCCAATTACAGGCAACTCACTGTCTCTCAAGACAGTCCATTTCATTTGGATAATTCTGATTGTTAACAAATTTTTCTTTATAGCTAGCTAATATCTGCAATCTTTACTCCATACATCTGCCTTCTGGGACCAAGCAAAACACGTAAATCCCTCTTTAACATGACAATCCTATATATGAGAAGATATATGAACAGATGGCTATGATGGCTCTCTTCTCCAGGCTAAACATCTTCAGTTCCTTCAAATCATCTTTGATAGTATGGTTTTGAGTACACTTACCACACTAATAACTCTTCTCTGCAACCACTCCGGTTTGTCAACATCCTTCCCAAAATGTTCAAAGCTAAACATTATATTCTAGATGTGGTCCAAGTTGAGTAGCAAATAATGGGACTATATTCTTCTTTCTGAACATTAAGTTCTATGGTCACTTCTACTTTTTTGCCCACCTCATTAATGTGCCGACTCATATTGAGTTGGTATTACATGAAACTTCTCCAGATCTTTTTCACATGAATTATCTATCCATATCTCCACTTCCCCCCTCCTCTCTCTTTTTCTTTCTCTCTCTCTCTCTCTCTCTCTCTCTCTCCACACACCCACACACACAATGCACACACACGCACACACACACACACACACACAAACATACACATGCAGTTGAATTTTTGAATCCACTTGTAGAACTTTTCAATTATCCTTATTAAATTATATTTGCTCTCTTCTACAAAGTCTTAATCCAATGCCTCATTATGCCATGGAAATGATGTTGGTTCTTAAAGGATACATTCCTTTATACATTCAAACTGATACATTCAACTCTGAAGAAAAGGTTTTGAGTACAACCTCAGCAACAGATTATCTGCTTTCCAAGGACCAGCCTAGCTAAGCATGGAAAGACTCATCAGTGGTGGTGGGCTAGGCACTTGGTTATAATTTTTTGGACATGACAACCATGAAGTAAAGAAAATATATAAACTACCACTCAGTTCTTACTATGCTAATGATGGCAGTGACAGAAAATGAATCACAAGATACTAAGAATTGCATTTTTTTTACACTGTGAACATTAATTTAGTTGTTTGTACTCTAAATGTGAGATCTTTGTCCAATGATGGATAAATAAACATACTACAGGAGGAATTGAATTGCATCAAGCATAAGAATTTCATTTTGGTAATTGGTGATTTCAATGCAACAGAAATGGTCAAGGATGCAAAAAAAAAGGTGGAAAATATGGTTCATAAGTAAGGAACTAGTGAGCCTCTTTCAACACAATGGCCGTTGTTTGTTGTTTTTACTAATTTTCCGGGTGTGACACAGGTGAAAATGGGAGTTGTTTTAATTGGAAGAAGTGAAGCTATTTAACCTAGAGAAGATCAGATGAGGGGAGAGGGAAACATAACAGCTGTCTTAAAGCATTTGAAAGGTTGTCATGTGGTGGAAGGATTAGTCTTGCTCTGTTTGGTCCCAGAAGCAGAGTGAAGAGCAGAATGAATGGATAGAAGCTACAAAGAGGAAAATTTAGGCTTGATGCACCTAACAATGAGAGTTATCCAAGAGCAGAGTGACTTGCTAGGAGATGATCTCTAGTAGAGTTTGAATAACCAATTGTCAGGTGTGTTATAGTGAGTATTCCTTTCCTGTATAGGTTACATTAGAGGGCTGCTGAGGTCTCTTCCAATTCTTGAGTTCAATGATTAATTTGTGTTTCTAGTGATTAGTGATTTGCCCCTCTCTTACAGGGGCATTGATGGTTTGTA